GTGGCTATGTTCCCATCCACTTACTGCCTAGTCTTCTCTAATACCTTCGTACCACTGAAAAGCCAGGCCATGATTCACACAGCCAGGAATGGACAGCAAGAGGAGAACAGTCCATCATCAGGTGAGAGGTAGAGTTGAAGTGATGATGAGAAAGGCTTGGAGAGCAAATAAAGGCAGAAAACGAGATGGGGTATGGACACAGATGCTTGGTTTTGCAAAGATAAAAGCAGAAGAGGAATGAAAAGATATGTGTGGCATATGGCAGCGGAGATCAGATGGTCTGTAAGGAATTGGAAGCCAGAAAGTGAGTGTGATAACAAGGCCAGAAGGGCAGGGGCCTCACCTGCCAGGGCCCATTCCCCACAGCCCCGAGTAGGACAAGCAGGACAAGCCTGGGGATAGTAGTCAGGGTCAGACCAGGATCACCAAGGAAGTGATAAGGAATGCCTGTCAGTGTCAGGATCAGACACAGGGATGGTAATCAAGGTCAGACACAGCCCAGGGACTGCCCAGCCCTACACTTAAACTGGGCAGAGAATGGGAAGGAGGCACACATTCAGGCTGGTCAGGGCCATTGAGGCCTCTTAATTCACTCATGGCCCTGGCTGCCAACGCCCCTCTCAGCAGATCCTCCTCACATCCTACGGAGATCTGGGTTCAGAATGGACATGATGTAGGGTGATTTAATTGTATTGGGATGCCACAGGGCAATTTCCAAGCGTAAAGAGCCAGGCAAGGGATGAAAAACTGGGATATGGGGATGGCATATGGGGGGCTTAAAGCCTGGGAAAGGGGAGGAGGGTGTGGATCAGGTTGCCCATGAGGAGCTTTGGAGGCTCAGTGGGCTTGAAAAGAAAGGTCCAGGCCACCCCTGGGGAGCACCAGAGTCTGGGCAGCCAGGAGGGCAAGGGCTTCACTCAGAATCTTGGGGGCAGCACCCAGGGGTCAGGCTGGTCTCTCAGAAGGGCATCATAGGTCTTGTTCAGTGGTGGGCCCAGTTCTGTGGTGTTCACCTCAGTCCTCAGGAAAGCCCAAACTAACTTCCAGGGAGCCGTGATGTGCAGCTGTTTTCTAAGGGACAGGGAGTCAGCAGACAAGTGTCTGCTCAGCAAGGCTGGCAGGGCTGGGGCCTCACCAGCCAGGGCCCAGTCCCCACAGCCCCTGAGCAAGGCAAGCAAGGCAGGCCTTAGGTAGTTAAGTAGTTATTCTGTCAAGAATACAGATCGTCAGATAAGACCATAATCATGAGGCAGGCTCAAAGTCAAGCCAGGAATAGAAGTCAGCAAGCCAGGGTCAGTATCAGATCCAATGAAAGAAAGCCAGGGTCAGACACAGTCCCAAAACTGCCAGGCAAGTCCATAGTGATAAGCCATATGACCTTGAAAGTTCAAACCAGGAAGTCAATTGGTGGAACAGGATCCAGAATAACAGGATCCATGGCCAGGCACAGCTGTGATGGAGCTGGAGCTGGAGCTGGAGATAGGTATACTTGCAACAGACCACAAATAGAGATTGGAGACTCAGGCCTGAGCTTAAATGAAGCTTCTGGGCCCACAGGCAGAGGATAGCGGTGAAGGCTCCAGGTGAGGCTGGTAAGGGCCATTAAAGCCTATTACTGCAGTCACGGCCCTGAAAAGATAAAAGAATTAATCTGGGATGACTCTTGTAAGGGAAATATATAGGAAAGGACAAAAGGAAGAAGACACAAAGGAAGGATAGTGAGGATAAAGCAATTTCTGAAATAAAATATTTCAAAAGGCCTTTTTCAGGCAAGAACTCTCTTATTCATAGACGCAATGACCTTATATGAGTATTTCATTGCACTCTGTACTTGTCTTGTACAATGTTCTGATATTGATTTTGGGAGTTACATTTGCCACTGTGGTTGCAGTCTTCGGCATACCACCTCTCCTAACATTACTCAATAGGATGTAGTCTAAAGTAAAGTTCTTTGCCCAGAAACTGGTGGTTTCTCAAAACAGAGACACAAGGAAGCAGGCACTTTGTTTCAAGCCAAGCTTCCTCAGAGTGTGGTGGAACCAGGAAGCTGGAAGTCCTGTAAGAATCTTAGAGGCAAGGCAAGCATTAAAACTTTCTAAGGAGAAGATAATTTCTTAGAAGTTCCTATCTGTGATAAGAAGCAAGTGTTCCTAACACACAACTCCCTCTAAAAATCAGGCTACTGTTTGAAAGTGCAATATCTAAAACAACTTAAACTGCCCTGTGGCAAGTCAGTAATCACTGCCTCTAATTCCTGAAACAAGCTGACTGGCAATGGCTTCTGACCCTGATCTGCTATCTTTGGAGCCTTGGCTCACTTTAAGATCTGGCACCTTTTCTGAAGTGACCAGTTTCTCTCAACTTCATGATAGGTCCCTCTTAAAAAAAAATATTAGAGCTTGTGACATGCTGGCCATTCAAGTACTGTTTCCCAGAGAGTGTCTGAGACATGCTTCTCTTTCCTCTTCCTTCTCTTTGCTCTACTGGACACTTTTCTCCTGTCTGTCATGGAGCAATGAAATTGAGAAAGAAAAATGAGACATTATCACAGCACCCAGCATACCCAGGAAATTACCGAAGTGCAGCAATTCAGGGAGAACAAGTGTGAGAAGTAGGGCCAGTATGGGAAGAGAGAAAGCAAGATAGGCAACAGTCATGGAGGAAGTGTGTTGAGAAATAAGTGAGGAAATTGGCCAAATGCTTGAGTGAGAAAATTAGGGAAGAGAAAATCAATGGAAGACACACTTTCTTTCATTTTTTCCAACAAGAAGATGGGAAAGACTGTGCTGAAAAAAGACAGGAAAAGAAAAAAATCCTGCAAGTGTCAAACCACAGGAGTCCAGATTCCAGGCCCCAGCTCTTCCAATGCCTTGCTTTTCTGTTCCCCTTGTAAAATAGCACTAATTATGGTCTCCCCTTCCTGGATGAACACTTACTACCCTGCTGCAATTGCAGGTGCTTAGCAGGGCAAAGGTAGAGCTTAGTCCAGGTTTACACACTCACATCCATACACATCAAGAACCCACACTTGGGCATTATGTGGATGCTATGGGGAGGGTGAGCATAGAGGAATATACACTGAATGAGGAAGAATAGACACAAGAGAAGGACAAAGGAAGCAGAGAGTAGGAGGGGGGATGAATGAAAAGCTGCTCTGTATGAAGGAGAAAATGGACACACGGGTGAAATGGAGTTGAAAGTTTAAAAAGCATGGAGAGAAAAGAGGAAGGGAAGCAGAGTTGAAAAGGATCCAAGTATGAAAGAAGAGAACAAGAAGAAAGCTTATGTTGTCCCCACCCACCACTGGTTACAGGCTGGGAGCAAATGGAGGAAATATTTGTGGCCTCGTCAACAGGGGAAGGAATGGAGGTGATCAACATGGTGCAGCACGAGGACTCACAGAGGAATTCAGCGGTGAAGGATCTACTGTTTGATCTGGCTCTTCCCCTTAACACTGTCAGTGTTGTTCTCTTTTTTCATGTGTGACATAAAGCATGTAATAATTTCTATGGTCATGGATCTACCTGTGTTTCATTATCACCTATTAGGCATCATGGCTTCTCTTCACCAATCACATCCCAGGAAACTTGCAACACTGAGGACAAGGGCAGGGACCTTGCGTACATATTGAAAGTGTTTCCTTCTCTCCTTGGGAAACACAATAACTTCTTGGTCCAAGATTCATGGAATTTTTTTCTAAGTCAGACCTCCTTTCTTGCACTTCCCATATGCTCTTTGTATAAAACCATCATAGTTAGTAATGAATAAGAATTGATTCAACTCACCAGTTTCAAGGGTTACCCTGTCTTAAACAGAATATTCATAAATTCATACATTGTAAGAACAAGAAAATATTTCAGATTCCAGGGAACTGTCCCCCCATTCACTTAACAAGATAGTACAAGAAAAGTTAAACACTCCTGAAAATGCAGACTGTCAATAGCTTCTGCTTTTTTTATACATTATAAACAAAGAAATGAAGTAGTCTCAGTACACCGAAATAACTTTTATATTACACACAAGGTCTGGTACAAAGTTGATTGCTATTAGCATCTAAAAGAAAGGCAGTCTGAACATGCTGCTAGGATAAAATTGATTAAATGAGTGGAGGAAGAGTATACACTGTTTAAATGAT